GCTCAGGTTATCATCTCAGGGTCCCGGGATCGAGCCCCACATCGGGCTCTCTGCTGAGTGAGGAGCCTGCTTACCCCCCATTCTCTGCCTGCCTCTCTGCCTACTTGTGATCGTGAGAGAGAGCATGAGAGGGGAGAAGGTCAGGGGGAGAAGCAGATACTCCATGGAGCTGGGAGCCCAATATAGGACTCGATCCCGGGACTCCAGGATCATGACCTGAGCTGAAGGCAGCCGTTTAACTGACTGAGCCACCCAGGCGCCCTGTAAAATAGGAATTTTAATAATGCCTTAGGATAGTCATGAAGATTGATAAATTAATGTGTGTGGTATCTCAGAGCCACTTCGCAAGCAAGCACGCTATTTATCATTCCCGTGTTCCTCCTCCTCCTCCTCACGAATCATACATATGCAGGTATTGAGAAACATGTGGGCAATATCGCTGAGTATCCAGATCAAAAATAATATTGGCTTTTTCCTGTTGTGCTTCTCTGTGTTTTACAAGTAATGTACAAGGAATGTGCATCACACATCAGTTTTACAGTCAGAGGGCATTTATGAACATTAAATGATCATTTTATTTATACTGATAACAGGCTGCCTCCTGCAAGCTCATCTTCAGATAAAAATTGCTGCGCTGCGTTTCTCAGGGATGGACTATTTAAACAACACGGGTGCTGGCAGGACTCACACAGCCCCGGAGAAACAGTGATGTGATTATTAATACCTGAGAACAGCAAAGCACAAATTGTTACAAGTAAACTACTCTTCCGAAAGTGGAGAGGCTCTGAAAATTGCTTCCTGTTGCCTAACACAAGGAAGCCTGATTTCTTGGTGTATGTGTTTTTCTTTCCACACTAATAGTATTTCTAGAATAACAGCATGAAACTTCCTGGTTTCCTGTTATGGTCTTTCTGTCTTCAGAGTTTAGAAACTGCCTGTCTCCTCTTCAGATATCTAGCCATTTTCACTGTAAGCATTACAGAGTACTTTAACAGACCCATGTCTCTTAGGAAAAACACTGTTTTTGTAATGAAGTACTTCACCTGACCCAATCACCCTTGAGTGAAGGCTTAACTGAGGATGAGAACTTAACACAATATAAACAAGAGAAGGGACGCAGAGAAGGGGGTTGACCAGAAATCATGATGAGGAGGAAAGGCACTGATGCTTATGGGATCTCCAGGGCCAAGAGAACCAGAAGTGTTTATCCTCTGCAAAATGGATAAAAAAGATGTGGTCCATATACACGATGGAATATTACTTAGCCACCAGAAAGGATGAATACCCAACTTTTGCACTGAGATGGATGGGACTGGAGGGGATTATGCTAAGTGAAGCAAGTTAAGCAGAGAAGGTCAGTTATTATATGGTTTCACTTACTTGTGGAACATAAGGAATAGCATGGAGGACATTAGTAGGAGGAAGGGAAAAATGAATGGGGGGGGGAATCAGAGGTGGAGTCGAACCATGAGACTATGCACTCGGGGAAACAAACTGAGGGTTTCAGAGGGTAGGGGTTGGGGGATGGGTTAGCCTGGTGATGGGTATCAAGGAGGGCACGTATTGCATGGAGCACTGGGTGTTATACACAAACAATGAATCATGGTACACTACATCAAAAACTAATGATATACCCTATGGTGACTAACATAACAAAAAAATTATTAAAAAAATAAATAAATAAATTGGCAACCTCAAGAAAGAATAAAAAGACCAAGGGAGGGCACAGAGAATCTCCTAAGGTACAAATTTAAAAAACAAAACAAAACAAAACCACCATCCTGGCCCAACTCTTGGTAGGTGGGTGGAAAGTCCTTATTAATAATCACACAAAATCCACAACCAGCAAGTTATGGTTATCAACAGGAACTTCCTGTCACGTGAAGTCGCTTGTATTTTAGTACAGTGGAAATGGAGGGGCTGCTGGGTTAACCTTGTTGCTCAAGCGCACCCTCCACGTGAGTGGCAGGGCTTGGGCTCCTTCCGGTAGGTGAAGGCAGTTCACCTAATCAGGCTTCCAGCTTGAGGGGAGGGGTTGGCAGTCCCTTCCTTTGTCAAGCGCGGTCACTGAGTGTTTGCTGGGAGTCTGGGGGAGGGGGACACACTATGCATGTGCTGCTGGGACCCCTCTCCCATGGTCGCGCTGGCAATGAGAGCCCTGCTTGGTTTCTTGTTTAAGCCTCCAGCACCGCCCACCTGCTCCCCTTTCTCGCCGCCATAGAGGTGCCCTCAGCCTGGGTTTCTCATTGCCTCATGGCCTCTGATGACTAGGATCGGGGCCTGCCTGGCCTTCTCTCTACCTATTTCTCAACAGACTTTTATCTAGTGATTTTTCCCAAAGTATCTATAAGCAGGACGGATTGGAAATTAAAAAAAAAAAAAAAAAAAAAGAAAGGCGGAGGAAGGGGGAGGGAAGGAGAGACAGAGACAGAGACAACAAACAAGTCTATAAGCATGAGGCAGTACTCAAGGAACAGGCCTGGTGCTCTTGCCATCGTCACTGCCCATGGTTATTTGATCTTGTTCCCCAGCATTCTCTCCGTATTCCCGGGGATCCCCACCATGTCCTCACCCTTCTTCCCTTTGGTGGACACCCTGCAGACCCAAACGGAGTTCCCAAAGGCTTGATAAGATCCATTCCATCTGGAGAGGAACCACTCCCTGTTCAGCTATCTCTGATTCTTGTCCTGGTCCTGCCAACTCTGGCCTCTGCTGCCCTGTCTCCTTGATGGTTCTCCTTTGTCTTTCTGCCTTCTAAGTGTGGATGTGTTTACAGCGTCTCAGATTTCCTCCAGAACCTCCTGCTAAATCTGTCCCTTGAACCTTTATGTCTAGATCCGACTTCTCTCCTGAGCTCCAGGCAGCTATATCCAGCCACCTCCTGGATGTTTCCACGACTGTGTTCCCATAGCAACTTAAATCAAATGTATACAAACACGGAACTCACTATCCATTTCCCTGAACTTGCCTCACATCCCTCAAGATCTGAGTATTTGCTAAAGCATCAACAGGCTCCTACTGACCAAAATGGACAGCGCCGAGTCACCTTGAACTTCCCCGCCCTTGCACCGCACTTGGGATTCACTTGAGTTAGTCTTCATATCTCCCGCACCTGCTTGTTATGCTCCCTTTGTTCCCAGCATCCCAAGTCCAGCTCTTCTTGGGTGGGCTGCTGTGATGAGCTGTTAACTGTTCTTCCTGTTTTCCCCACAGCTTTCCCGAATATCTTCCCGACAAAGCTCAGATCCCACTCGCTGGTATTCGAAGCCTTGTATGATTGCACTTCTATTCCACTCGTTCACTTTCCGACTTATTCTGCATGTGCTGCTGAAGTCTGTAAACAAGGGGGTGGCTCCAATGTCTTGGAGGGCTACGTCAGCCAACCAAAGCCTACGCCAGAGTCAGTGCCCTTGAATCTGAGAAGGTGAGGTGAAGCGCAGCCAGTCACAAACAGCCAACCAGCCGTCCCCAAACAAGGCAGCCACTTACACTGTACCCAGTCAAATACTTGCTGTGCTTCGCTTCAGCATCTTCTCTATGGAAACCCTGCCCCCACCTACTGTCCGGGCATGTTCCTAACCCCTTTTTGTTTGATACTATCTGATGTGAAAGGATGTACGCCCAAATCAACTTTTGAAAATTTTAACGTGTTTTAATGGTTTACCTACACGACAGTATCTACACTCTTGGTTGCAGAAACCACTCCGTATGCTTCACACGTGCCCTATAATTTCTGGTTTCTGTGCCTCAGCAGATCCTGTTCTTTTAGTCTGCAATGCCCTTTTCTCCCAGCTTTAAATTTCCAAGCCTTCCTGTCTTTAAAAAATCACTGCTGTCAAGATTCTCAAACCCCAGCAGCAAATGAGCTACTTGCCCATTGGCCCATCTGTAGCATTTTTATCTCTGCCTCTCTTACGACTCACTGAGCCTGTACTATGTCCCTGATAAGCCAAGTCTGGCAGGGAAAGGCCCCCCCAACAGATTCAACTTTGAATCTTTGCCATCCAGGTCCAGGGTGGGCAGGTCTCTGCCAATAACCAAACAAATGACTCACAAACAGCCCCCTCCATCTACTGAGGACCATGACAAAATGCCCAAGAAGACAACAACTTGGTTTCCGAGCCTACAGCTCGTAGAGATTAGGCGAACATATGCTAATTGATAAAGAGCAATGGAAGATAAAGAATAGGATTATGGAGAATATACACCATATACATTCTATTAAGTCTGAAAAGAGGCTCCTTTTTAGGAATTGACACTGGATCTTAGTAATAGGTTTATTTTAGATGGGTGAAAAGAAGGGCCTTTTGGCGGGGGAGGGAGTAATCGGATTAGGACAGCGAAAGGCATGGGGAGAAGGGCCTAACATTCACCAGGTCCCACTGCCGCTAAGATGTGGGCTCCGTGCCGTGTGTGCATTATTTCATTTAATCCTACAACAATCCTGAAAAGCAGAGAGCATCAGTGCCAATTTTATAAGGAAGGAGGTGAAGGCTCAGGGGGATTAAGGAACTGGGCAAGGTTATGCAGGATTAGGTGCTGGAGCTGGGCTGGAAACAGGCAGCCTGCTTCTGTTGCACCACACTGCCTCCTTTCGAGCAAAAAACCGAAGTATTACTGGGTATTTTCTTCAGGAAGGGAGACTCTTTGCATTGATGAATGAACCACTCAAGCTGCAGAGCAAGAAGCAGGGCTTGGGACAACATAGCCAACTCTGAATGCAAGTCTGCCCGTCTAGAAAGAAAAGCGAGGAGGCTCTTCACTGAGTTGAGAGCGGTGTGGGGAGGAATGATTAGGGAGGGCAGCCCTAGAATGAGGGGGTGCCTCTAGACTCGCAGAAAACACAAACATGGGCACAGGCTCGACTCTAGATGGATGTCACCCATCCCAGCCTCCTTCAGTTACAAAGGAAGAGAAATGAGCCAAGTGAACATAGATTGCTTGTAATGAACACTCAGCCTCAGAGGTGGTAAGAGGGACAGTGATGGCAGGAGACGTACTTGGTCTCGTTGGCGCAGCGGATCTTGCAGCCTTTTTTGGGAATGACCAAGCCCAAGTGCATTCGGAGCCTGCAGTTGGTGGGCCCCGTGTGCGGCCACACGTGCGTTCCCGGGTGCATGACCGAGTATTTGATCTGCGCAGAAAACAGAACAAACTGGTCATCCATTTACGGAGGGGTAGAGGAAGTGCTCAGTTAAAGTGACAGGATAAAATTCATGTCAATTTGAATTTGGACCTTTGTTAAGAATCAGAATTTATATTCTTGTCTTATTGCTTTGATAAGGACACTCATTTTCTACCAAGCGCTAACACCGAACATTTCCCGCCCTCAATTCTGACATGGACCACAAGAAATTAGGTTTCGTTAAAAAGTGAAAAAAGATGCCTTCATTGGGCCGGTAACGGCTTCGTCATAAAGGTCAGCACTCCCTTACTCCTAATCACAAAACTGTGTTCTTCCCGTGACTGAAGACACGCTTGGTACCTGTCCTCTTCGGCATCCTGTTGTCTCGGGAAATTTATCTAGTAATGAACAGGTTTTAGGAGCTCCTTTACAGGCATTTTCATTTTTTCTTCCTAGAACAAGACATGATAAAATCATTGTTAGAAACAAATCACAGTAAAACTTTAACTCGTCCCGTTTTGACCAGACGCAAACTGTACTGTCACCCTTACTAGGAATGAGAAGGCTAAACAAACACGAGAAGACAAAGTGTCACAGATAGTGACAGGCAGACCAAGGACCAGAAATCTCCACCCAGTGTCAGACTATTTGACTAAGGCTGTCTACTGGGCAAGGTGAGTGTTGAATATTTACTCTTCTCCCTGTGACAGGTAGAATAATGGCCCCCTCCCAAGGGTGTCCGTGTTGTAAGCAGGAGCCTATGAGTAGGTTATGCTATATGGCAAGAAGAAACGGAGATTGCAGATGACATTGAAATTTCTAATCAGATGACCTGAAAATAAGGAGATTGTCTTGGATTAACTGGATGGGCCCCATGTAATCAAAGAGTCTTTCAACAGGGAAGAGGGAGGCAGAACAGAGTGATACAGGATGAGACCTGACAGGCCATCGCTGGCTTTGAAGATGGAAAGCAACTGCAAACCAGGGAATGTGGGCAGATTCTAGAAGCTGGAGCCTCCAGAGGTAATAGAGCACTGAGGGCACTCTGATTTAAGCTCAGTGAGACCACTACTGACTCCTGACCTCCAGAACTGTACATTTAATACATTTGTTTCATTAAAAAAAAAAAAAAGATTTTATTTCTTTGGGACAGAGAGGCAGAGATAGCAACAGAGAGCGTGAGCAGGGAGGACAGGGAGAAGCAGACGCCCCACTGAGCAAAGAGCCTGGATGTGGGGCTTGATCCCAGGACCTTGGGATCTGACCTGACCCAAAGACTGGCGCTTAACTGACCCAGCCACCCAGGCACCCCAAATTTGTGTCATTTTAAAGCCTCTAAGTTTGTGGTAATTTTTTAGAGCAATCATAGCAGAGTCTGTGAGGAAAAAAAAATAGCTTATATTTCTAACCTAAAAATGCATTTCTAGGACTATATCAAAGAGTTACTGCAACATTTTAAATTGGAATTTAATATATATTTCATTGTACAGATCATACTTCATATGTCAATCAAGTATAGGATTTAAGAAAAGAGGGGAAGAGATGGTAATGAGAGATGATGAGGGATGATGTTTTCTATGACCAGCTGTGTCGGGAACACAGATTTTGGGACACGGTCTTAAACATCCTGGACTGTGCAGATTTCCTCACCCCTGACAGAATAACTGTGTCTTAGGGAAGACGTGCTCAGAAAGGTACACAGAATTATTTGCTCTTACGTAGGAGTAAAACAATGGATTTTTTTTAAAGATAGAAAAGTTTTAATTCCCTACTCAAGATTCTTACGAGGGGCTGCTACATCGAAAGCTGAATTTAATCTTATTTAATGTTGGTTGTGTCCTAAGATAATCATACACTGAGAATAAAATGAGAGTTACAAGGGAGGCAACTTAAAAGTATTCTCCTCAAATGGAACTCAGTGTTTTAGAACACAACTTTAATACGTATACTAGTTTTTCCTAAGTAAACTTTTTGCCCCTTGAGCAAAACGTTAGTTGCTGTTTTTAGGGGTTAATGGAGTACCCTGGTGAGCTGAAAGATAAACGCCAGTTTGACCAAATAGATGCTTGCTTGTGTCCTCAGAAAGTATTTTTAAGCCTGCTTCCCATGCCTTCCCTTACACAGGATCTGGGGATGGCTTGGCAGAAGTCCCCAATTCTGGGTTCCAGGCTGTGCAGACAGCAGTTAAGGGAGGCCTGGAGGCTTGAGGAGGAAGCAGAAGTGGCTGGACTTTCCATGTGTTGTACCTTAATGAACAAGTAACCAAATGGTCTGGACGTCACTAGGACTGCCCCTTGGTCAAGACTAAATTAGAGACAGCACCTCTAGCCATTTAGACACACACATCTTTTCTAGTCTTGTAAACACATCCTCTCTGTAGGGGGAAAGCTGTTTCGTAGATGCTTGACCTTTGTGGATCACCACTGGTAGCTTTAAAGTCACACGGATGGTGAAGATTTAGAAACGCAACGACAGGGGAGCCTGGGGGGCTCCGTTGGTTAAGTGTCTCCCCTCGGCTCAGGTCATGATCCCAGGGTCCTGGGACTGAGCCTCATGTAGGGTGGCTCCCTGTGGGGAATCTGCTTCTTCCTCCGCCCCTCCCCCCACTAGTGCTTGCCTGTTCTCTCTCTCAACACTGAGTTAAAAAAAAATCTTGAAAAGAAAATAACCCAAGACCTTAAAACTGAACTATTTCTTAAAAAGTGTATTCACATGGAAATGAGTATCCGATTGATTCTTCCAAATCTGCGTTGACAGAACTTCTAGGGCCATCTTGCCCAAGAACCAAAGTCAATCACTTCTTGGGAGTTACTTTAAACTCAGTGAGAAAAAACAAAACAACCATAAATCTACCCTGAATTCAGCCACTTGACAGTTTCCTCCTCCGTTCCTCACAGCTGCTTTCTACTCCATGATGTGACAAAACGGTAAATGATGCTTCAAAGTGCAGGTCTGGGAGACCAGCAATCCCGGGGTGGAGGCCTGTCTGCACCACTTGGTAGCTGTGTGATGCGAACGTGTCTGTGAGTCTCTGCTCCTCAGATCCTCATCCAAAAAAGGATAATGAAATTAGGGCCTCGAATAGGGGGTTGTTACTGGGATCGAATAGGGGGTTGTTACTGGGATCGGTGAGTACTCTCGGGAGATCTGACAATTACCTAGTAGGTGATAATGGTACTACTTTTTTTACTACAAAATAATCCTATGTTATATAATAATAAAGCATGTAATGGAGGGGTGGTGGTCTTAGGTCATGGGTACTTGGGTCACGGTTACGAACATGGACTCTGGGTCCACTTTGGCTGGGATTCCTGCTGTGCCACTAATTGTGTGACCTCCCTGTGCCTCGGTTCCTCTTCTCTAAAATACAACAGGAATCGTACTTCTGTCACCAGGTGTTGTAGGCAACAGATGAGTCCTTTTAAGTATGTCAAGTGGTTCCTGGCTCACGGTGAGCACCATGGAACTGTTGTTACTTTCCATTTTTTAAAAATAGTTTATTTATTTATTTGAGAGAGAGAGAGAGAGAGTGAGAGGGAGAGCAGAGGCAGGAGAGAGGTAGAGAGAGAAGCAGACTCTCTGCTGAGCAGGGAGCCTGACTCGGGGCTCGACCCTAGGACCCTGAGATCATGACCTGACCTGAAGGTAGATGCTTCACTGACTGAGCCATCCAGGTGCCTGTAAAGGTCTTGGGTTATATCTTTTTTAATTTCGATGTTCTGCTGGAATAACAGGTTCATCTTGCATGACAATTCTAACCAACCGACAGTGGCCACCTAGAACACCGTTGAGAAGGATTCAGAGGTTCAGTCTGAGCTCATCCAGAAAGGCGACTGAGACTGGTCAGCACTGTCCCCTCTGGCGCTGGAACAACGAATGACTGCACATGTATGGCATATTGGCTAACGATATATTTTAGTGTTCACTGTTGGTGATAATTAATAAATGAGCAAAATAGATATTCTGTAACATTCACTTAGTAATCTGAAAACATATTTGTAGGGGAAAACCATAATTTACGTTTGTGGGCTCCTTTTCCTCCAACCCCCAAAAGTTGACCATTTAAAAAGGAATAAATATTCTTCAGTCCTGATTATGTGACCGGGAGACCCACTATGATTCCCACTACCATTTGGAGAAAAATGAAACCTCTAGCCACAGCTTTAAGGCCTTTAACTCTCCAGCAGTGTCCTTTCCTAACTAGAACAAGACAATCTCTTCAGTGTTAAGTAAATCAGATATTCATCAGCCTCTATATCCGGACCTGAGCTCTTAGCATGAATAAGAAATGCCATGCTGCCTCTCTTCCTCACTCTTCCCCAACCCCTCCTGCCACAGGATTCTCTCCAGCTTCTGAGCCAAACACCTGGGAAAACATCTGCCGTCAGGGCCCCATCCTAGTTCTATACAAGCTATGGTACCAGTTGTCTTCAAAATTATTTAAACTATGAATTTGCTTCTGAAAGACATTACTGGATTCCTCCCAGAAGCCTGGAACCACCAACAGAAGGCCCCAAAGAACCTTAACGAAACTTCCTAAAAGAGAAACTATGTGTCTTATATTCTCTTATGACAAAAAAAAAAATTCTATTTAATTAACTGCAACTAATTAGAAAACACAAGCTTGTTTTAGCCCTCACCCAAAATGCACATACAGCTCAATCATTTTGAGTCAAAATGGAAATCAAGATAGAAATGCAGTCATTTTCTGGAAATAATACAAGTGAAAATATCACACATTACAGCTTCAGGAATATATTTTGCCACAACTAAAACGTTTTTAAAAAGATGCAAAAATTTCAAGTCAAAATGTTGCCTTCAACCAAATCTTGTCTCCATTATTTATTTTCTTGCTTGATTAATACTTTCATCTGCCCTAAAATGCTTTGCAGATTTCAACTTTATCAAAGCACCTGCTGTTCGCAGAGACTCTGGTTCTGGAAATTACTGCCAGGATGCTTGCTTTTCTGCAGCCTTGTTCTAGGAAGCGGGAGGATGTTAATGAAACGGAGGCATCAGATGAACTCCTGAATGAACGCTTGAGGCCAAGAGAACTCATACATTCTAGTGAGACTCCAACAGATAAAATCAGCAAGCTGTTCACCTATTGACCTTGTAGCTCCCTGAAAAAAAAATCTTGTTGGCAAAAAAGCCGAAGAATCACGTGCTCTCTCTGCTGATGGAAGCATCCTTGAAAGTATTACTGAAGTAGCTCTTCTTTTATGAGTAAACCATTCGGAAAGCGTAAGTGAGATAAACAACTGCTTATTTGTCCTTTAATGTAAACCCACTGCTTGGTCTCCCAGTGTATTCGGTGCAGCTGAGTGTGTGCCACACGTACTGAGTGGTCTTCAAAATGGATTTATTTTTGGATAGCTATTGTTAACCCAGGATGATGAGATTTTCCAGGAAGAGAATTAGGAAAAACCTTAAAGCCCAAATTCAGTGCTCCTCATTTTCAGGATAGATTGATGTATTAACTCATCGAATACACACATTCTGGGGCCCCGTGTATGTGCCAGAGCCTGGCTTCAGCCCAAGGAATGTTAGGTTGAATATGTAGCACTTCCTATTCTTTTTTTTTTTTTTTTAAGATTTTATTTATTTATTTGAGAGAGAGAGTGAGAGAGAGCATGAGAGCAGAGAAGGTCAGAAGGAGAAGCAGACTCTCCATGGAGTTGGGAGCCCAATTCGGGACTCGATCCCAGGACTCCGGAACCATGACCTGAGCTGAAGGCAGTTGCCTAACCAACTGAGCCACCCAGGCGCCCCAGCACTTCCTATTCTTGAAGAGCACAGACACTAATTATCATTGCCTGTCACTCTGGTCTTTTATCATCTCCAACCCATGGGGATCCCATTTTGGCTTGCAACGTCGTCTCCACACCATGGAGCAAATGAAGCTCTGGGGAGGTCCTTTCTAATATAGTAATTAGCATGTGGTGGACTTTTCGGTTAAGCCTACATAGTAGGGTCACTCTTTATAACTTATCATTTAATGGGAAAGACCAGGAAAATCAGAGTATTATATATATTTATCCAAATACACATGTGAGTATACCTACATACACACACACATAGATTTACATGTGAACACAGGCACACACAAATAAGTGTTCACATGTAGTTTTAAGAAACAATGATGGATTTCGATAATATATATTTTTGGGGGCCGTTTCATTTAAGTTGGGGAATTCCAGCTCTGGGAAGTAGCTTGAGAAGACTCAAGCCTTCTTCCCATCAGGTTATTGGCTGCAGAGAACAATCTAGAAGTCAGGAGCTCACCTTGCTGCCACAGCGTAAACTGGCTCCAGTCGCCCTTCTCCCTCAGGTTTTCATCTTCAGGCAGGAAGAGGCCCTTGGCTTTATCCATCACTGCAAGGCCTTCGTCACGGATTAATTTCCAGTTTCTTTCTAAGGACTAAAGGGAAGATTCCGGTTTTACTGAACTGAAAATATGCCTGCTAGTCATTAGGATGACTCTCAGCTTTTTGTTTGTTTGTTTGCTTAATAAAGTAATGAAATCTGTGCTCTCATCGAGGTTGCTTAATTTCTATTTCCTCTGGGACATCTTGTCAAGGGTTTAAAAAAGCCCTATTATTATTTTTGAGAACTCAATGTCTTTGCAGGATGAAAATGTCAATAATTCCTCAGGGAGTAATCCCCTCCAAAAATTACTTTAATATTTGCCTAAAGGTTGTTGTTGTGTTTTTGTTTTTGTTTTTAAAGATCACAAGTGAACAAGAGTGTTGGCTCTTGTTGACCCTGTTATATCAGTATGTTATAGAATGTTCCATAAGACCACCTGGCACGGAAAGAATACACATCAGGGACTTCATTTCATCTTTCAACAGAGGTCCTTGTGAAGATGCCACTCAACATGGTAAACTGTAATTACATTTCAAAGGCATTGGGAAAGTGTCACCAGAACATGTGATGAATTACAAAGTGAACAGCACAGCAAAGCAAAGCAAATAAATGCCCTGATGTTGAGAATTCAGCCAAACAAAAACATTCCTGACTTCTCCTTTACTAGGGTGCGTTAGCTCCTGTCAGAAAGTGGGTTTGAGAGCAGCAGAGCGGCCAGGCAGAGGCTGGCAGATGTGTGGAAGGAGTCTTCTGGAGCTCTCCGTCCGGGTCAGCCTCGCCACTACACCGTGATGCCGATGAAGGTGGGAGCAGAGTGGAAAGCAGGTGAGCGCGAGCCTGTGGAGTGGCAAACTGAGAGGAACTACCCTGAGGGAAAAAGAACAAAACTGCATTCCTACTGTATGCTGAGACTCATTGTACAGATAAACCAGGATTTTGAAATGTTAATAATGCCAAACACTTCTGTGTTAAACGAAAGGGGGACGGAGTAGTTGAGTAAACGGGTACATGGTGAGGGAGGTGCGGGATACCTGATTTCAAGAGTCAAAGAGCTTGAGGCACTAGAATGAGTGAGTTACAAACAAAAAGAAAGATTTTGACACACAAAAAGTGAAAACAACAATTGGTGCTCCCTGAAAGTGGATTAAGGTGCTGTGTACAACATGGCTCTCTCTTTTGAATTAGTCCAGCAAAACTGGTTGACCCATTATTTGATTGAGCAAAGCATGAGACAAAGTGTGTTAAGGTGTTTTGTTTTGTTTGTTTTACCAGCCCATGTTTTATGAATTCGTGATTCCATGTAGGAAAGTGATAAGGAGCCAGGAGAGCTCCAAGAGGCAGATGTCCTCAGAGATTTGTGTGAAAACATGGTGCCAACTTCAGCCCAGCCCAAGGAACATTTTTTACATTATTAGTTTTATTAAGATATTCTAGGGCCAGACATAGATTTTTAAGATTAGATACTGATTTTCTATTTCTTCTTTCCCCCTTCATTTCTTTGAGTCTACTGGTTTATTTCCTTTTTAAACGTCAGCATCACTGAGGCATAACTGACAAAACTGTAAAGCATGCATCATGGTGATTTGATATGCGTATGCATTGTGAAAGGATTTCCCCCATCTGGTTCATTAACACATCCGTCACCTCAAAAATTTATCTTTCATTTTTTCATTTTTAAATTTTTCTGTTGAGAACATTTAAGTTCTACTCTCTTAGCATATTTTAATTATACAATACACCGTTATCAACTATAGTCACCACGTTAAACCTTTAATTCTCAGACTTTATTCATTCTATGGATGAAAGTTTGTACCTTTTACCAACCTCTCCCTATTTCTTTTACTCCCACACCCTACCCCAGCCCTGGCAACCACTCTTCTACTCTCTGTTTCTATGAGTTTGCCTTTTTTTTTTTTTTTTTTTAATTCAGATTCCACGTGTAAGTGATACCATATAGCATTTGTCTTTCTGTGTCTGGCTTATCTCACTTAGCACAATGCCCTCAAAGTCCACCATGTCGTTGCAAATGGCAGGATTTCCTTCTTTCTCAGCTGAATAATATTTCTGTGTGTGTGTGTGTGTGTGTGTGTGTGTGTATACCACATCTTCTTTATCCATCCATCCACTGATGGACACTTTGGTTGTTTCTATGTCTTTTTGTGGATAATTGTACAATGAACATGAGAATGCAGATATCTCTTCAATATCTCATTTTCATTGTCTTTGGATATCTATCCAGAAGTGGGATTGCTGGGTCATGTGGTGGTTCTATTTTTAATTTTTTGAGGAAACTCCATAATGTTTTCCACAGTGGCTACAATAATGTGTGGGTCTGACACTGCTATTTCTGTGAGACCCACATATTGATTCGTGTCAAAAGCCACCGCTGCTGCTACCATCACACTGATTTATGCTAGTGCTGGTCATCAGTAATTTCAATGTTACTTCATCCCAAGTAGGTAATTTATACAGAGCAAGTCAAAGACAGAATTCCAATAAAAAGATACTCAAAAGCCTTCACTTTGGCAGGCCCCGAGTAACAAAATATAATGGCTTTTTTCAAGAATCCCAAGATTATGAAAAAGAAAAAAAAAATGCAACCCATATATTCACATCTTCTCAAATGTACCTAAATTGCCAACACTCGTTGTGGCTATTGTAATTTGTTCGAGTTGATAGATAAATCTGTTAGATTCTTGTTAAGTTGTCACACAGATGAGGGGAGAATTACCTTTCTAACACATGAAATTACTTTTCAAATGAGGTTACTGGAGCCTTACACAGCAGGCTCTTCCCTTCATCCCTCCTGGTATTCTAGAAGTTTCTTGCATTTCTTTTGATAGCTGATGTTAGGAGCATCTTTGCAAAGAGCTGATCTTTTGTTAGGAAAACAGGGCAGAAAGCCCAAAGGAAAATGTTGTAGTGATTGTATCACTAAATAAATAAAATTTGTCTTAGGAGCAGTTTTTACCAGAATAATGAGTGCACTTTGGATTTGTTTTTGTTTTGTTTTGTTTGTTTGTTTTCAGCTTTGGAAAGATTCACCATGGTCTCTTTTATGGGCATCAGGAGAAATCTAGGATGGGATCTGGGAATTTTATTTTTAAGCATAAACCAAGGAACCATATTGTATAAAATTCACATGATTAGAGGGGATTAAACACCAAACCTAATTACACAGGATGTATGTGTGTGTTTGAGAGAGAGAGGGAGGGAGAAGGGAGAGAGGGAGAGAGTAGGAAGGGCTGGAGGGAGGAAGGGAATGGATATGCATCTTTTCTACAGTGATATCACTCAGATGTCTGGGATGGCAAAAAAATTCCAATCTTTAGTAAATTCCAGCAGGAGCTTGAAGGCTCACAAGAGAGGCCACGCTTACATTCTGAAAGGTCTCATCTAAAATAATACTTCTTTGACCCTAAATACACCCATTTTTATAAAACTGAAAAAAGAAACTGATAGGGTTGGTATTTGAGTTGATTGCCGGGAAGACAACAGCTTCTAATTGACATTTCTCCTTGTGGAAGCATGGATCTGAGAGCACAGAGACTTGATTGCTTTTACGGTGCCACATGGCTTTGTAAACTCACCCAGAGTACTTGTGTTTTGTTGAACCTCAGCTGTATCTGGCACTCTAGTCATCTCTAAATGGAGTTCCCAGCTTCCAGCTTCATTAATCCCACAACACACCCTAGTTCACTTTACTCCAGACCCCCCAACCAGTTGACAAGGTCCTCACTTCCCAGAAACGCTCCTCATTCACTTGGATGATATGCTTTTCTCTTCAACATCAAATTAGATTAAGTCTATTTTTAAAGTCTTCTCCGAAAACTTATTTCTTGCAGAAAGTCTTAAGGGGAGCAAACTATAGCCAAACTGATTCTTATAGTTAAACAGTTAAATTTCCCTTTCTATTTTTATTCAATTAGAAGTACATATTTTTAAAAGTTAACTAATACTGCAGGTCTTATAATAAAAGCAGTACAGTCTCTCACTCAATTCTTCTCCCATCCTGAGTCCAACCCCAGCTGATTGCTTTAAACATCTCTTCTGCATTTACCTGCTTCTATCTAAATACTATGTTTTGGGGTACCTGGGTGGCTCAGATGATTAAGCGTCTGCCTTCAGCTCAGGTCATGATCTCCAGGTCCTGGGATTGAGCTCCACATCAGGCTCCCAGCTCAGTGGGGAGCCTGCTTCTCCTTCTCCCTCTGCTTCTCCCCTCTGCTGTGCTCTCTCTGTTTCTCTCTCTCTCTCTCTCACAAGTGAATAAATAACATCTTTAAAAAAATAAATACTATGTTTATACACCACTATTTCTTGATTTATCCCATTCTAGACATTATCACTCATCTTTCTCTTAGAGAAGGTAACACGTTGACAATCTGTTGTCTTCTTTTCTCTCTTCTCAATCTTGCTACAGTTAAATTCACAAATCTTTCATCTATCTGATCAAATTCACATTCGGGTTTTATATGACAATGAGTTATCATTCACACTCGAGTCGTCCTGTGATGAGGACCCTTCATGCTACATATCTGCCCCCTTTTCTTTGGCTTCATTTTCTAACACACTTACCACTGTTTGTTCTTTACAGCACTGGAACGGTGATACAAAATCTCTTGATACTATTCTACCCCTTACCAAAAACATCAGATAAGCCACTATTTTCTTTCTCTCTTTTTTCGGAAGATAATCCTGCAGTAGCCAACTGCCTTGCTTTGATCTGGACTGATGGCAGTCTGGGCGTGCTGGGCAAGCCTCATCAGAGAACTGCCCTTGACTTCTGCCCTATAGTGGTCTTCCTAATTACTGCATTCTAGTTGCTCCCAAGAAAGGACACAGCACAGGTAACACTAAATTTCTGAAAACAGTTGAAGCTATACTTAGAGCTGATTGAAGGCTTGCCTGTTTACAGAATTCTAGGTAGGAAATACTTTCTCCTGAGAATTTTGAAAACAATTCCACACTGTGTTAGAACTTTTAGTGCTGCTGTTGGGAGATCCTCTTTTGGGGGGTGGTGTCCCTCAGAAAACTTTATAGAAGTCAGTA